TCAACAGAAGAGTTCGACGAATTATGCTTCGAGTTTGGTAAGGCAGTAGCCAAGGTACCCCTCCTTACGAACGCCCATTAATAATGTCTCTCTACAGGCCTTGAACTTGACGAAGATGTAATACCCCCTTTTCGTTCCTGTAGGCGATCCTTTCTCTTAACGATTACAGACCGAGAACTCCGAAAGACCATTCGTAAACGGCAAGCAAGAAGCCCCGCAACTGAAGATTGAGGTCCCCGCCAATCGGTTGGTACTCCCCCTCTCTACGGCTATATATCACACGAAGTACTAAGTGGACAATAGATATGATCTCATGTGCATTGAAGGCATTGCACTCATGCTAAATATCTTTCGGGGCCGAGCTACCTTGCCTAAATACCGTCTCGTTACGCCTACTAATGGCGAACTTGAACAAATTATCGTGAAAGAGGAGGTGAGGAAATGAGCAAGCAAAACGACTATAGCTATAAAATTAGCTATGGAATAGCATTCACTGAATCTATATGCAGACGATGAAAGTGCGGCCTTACATTTCAGGCGCCATCCTTCGCAATATCCGCTTCGATCAAGCCCGATATGACTCCTTCATCGCCCTTCAGGACAAGTTGCACCAGAATCTTGCCCGTCAGAGAACGTTGGTGTCTGTTGGAACGCATGACTTGGATACAATTAAAGGACCGTTCACTTATGAAGCTGTGCCTCCAAAGGATGTCAGCTTCATACCTTTGAATCAGACAAAGAAGATGAACGGGGAGGAACTGATGGAGTTTTATGAAGTATGTCAGATTACGCACCACCGTACTCTACAATCCAGAAACACGACACTAAAAAGCTTATAGAAAGACAAACATCTGGGAAAATATCTTCACATTATCCGGGACTCTCCAGTGTACCCTGTTGTTTACGATGCAGACCACGTTGTCTGTTCCCTCCCACCAATCATCAACAGCGACCACTCGAAAATCACTTTAAACACAAAAAATGTTTTCCTCGAGTACACTGCGCTTGATAAAACAAAGGTTGAAATCGTAAACAATATCCTAGTTGCTATGTTCTCTCAGTACACCTCTGAGCCTTTTACGGTTGAACCCGTGAGAATAGTATCAGAGCACAACGGCGAAACTCGCGAGACCCCCAATCTAAACCCCCGCCACACCCAAGCCAGTAAATCCTATATTAACCAATGCTGCGGCTTATCCCTATCTGCCGCTGAAATTTGCAACCTCCTGAAACGAATGGCATACTTTGCTGAGCCATCCAAAACATCACCAGATCTTATCGACCTTGAGGTTCCTGTGACCCGCGCGGACGTCCTCCACCAAGCAGATATTATGGAAGACGTGGCCATCGCCTACGGCTTTAACGAGCTGCCCCGATACTTTCCCAGCAAATCGGGCACGATCGCACAACCCCTCCCCGTCAACATGCTCACCGACATCATCAGAACAGAAGCCGCAATGGCTGGTTGGTCTGAAGTCATGCCACTAATCCTGTGTTCGCATGACGAGAACTTCGCCTGGTTGAACCGCAAGGACAACGGGAACACTGCAGTTAAACTTGCAAACCCGAAGACAGTCGAGTTTCAAGTCGTTCGCACGAGCCTGTTACCAGGTCTTTTGAAAACTATCAGTGAAAACAAACACCACGCTATCCCTATGAAGATCTTTGAAGTGAGTGATGTCGTGTTCAAAGACCTATCCCTCGAACGCAAGAGTAGGAACGTGAGACATTTCGCTGCAGCTTGGTATGGGAAGACGAGTGGGTTTGAGATTGTGCATGGCCTTCTTGATAGAGTGATGGCGATGCTCAAAACTGCGTTTGTAATCGGCGAGGAAGGTCTTAATAATCCTGCGATGAGTTATGCGACATACTGGATAGAGGAATTGGAAGGTTCGATATAACCCCCCTGAAAAACGAGTAAAATCACCTATGGTTTAAGAAGAGTATTAGAATCCAATTCATGCTGACTAATATCTTCTCTTTCGTTTCAACAGATCCTACATATTTCCCCGGACATTCTGCTTCCATACACGCCCGAATTTCCGGGAAGGATCACGTGATTGGTTCCTTCGGTATCTTGCATCCAACAGTGCTTGAAAAATTTGAGTTGAAGTATCCCGTCAGCACGTTGGAGATTAACATTGAGGCTTTCCTATGAGTTTTCCTTGTCTATTTTCAATAACTCTCCGCGTCACTATCGTTCTGTGGACTGAGTATTTGGGACAGAAGAAGTACATTCATCTAGAAGTTGAATTGGAGCCATCAAACAGTGGTCAAAATGAATGATGATGATCGGAAGCCAATACAAGGCTGGGAGGTTTGGACAATAAATTGGTGTGGGATAAACGGGCATTTTGTAGACCCAAAAATTGACTTGGTGCAGATGGGTGAAACTCGAATGAAGGAATAGATACTGTATTTACACTTGTCCGGGGCTGCTTGGTGACGTCAGCTTCTGATATAAAAAAGTAAGCATTCACATACTCCTTTTCTTTTGCCTTTTCGGCATATTCAGACCAGAGATGTGTATCACAGCAAAGTCTGCTTATTGTTGGCTCATATCTCTTATTGCTACCTCTACAGTAGAGAATCTTGTAGCAATGAATACATCGCATCGACATATATCCCCATCTGCCATAGGAAGAGCCCAATTTTCAATACACTGAACGGACTGTCCTAATAAAACACAACGCAACCAGGACCTCATTTGCGGGGAGAAAAGAAGAAAATATGGAACAAAGGCAGAAAATGTAAGTTCGTATTCATTTTACGCCCGCGGATCAACAACCCTGAGAAAAAAGAAAGAGACATTAACAAGAACCCGCACCGCATCACAACACACCAAAAATTACTCCTGCCCTTCCACAACCTGCCCCTCAGGACCAGCACCCTGTCCCGCAGCCTCAGCTTCCTGCTGCTCAGCCAATCGCTGCTGCTCAGCCAGCTGTTGGGCGGCAAGGGCCTTGGCACCATAATCCTGGCTAATTGGATGCAGGACGGGCTCTTCCTCCTTGGGATCGATGATGGTGACGGAGTCGGGGAGAGATTTCTGGGGACCGGATTTTCCTTCTGGGTCGCTGCCGCGCATGATCTTTACTTTTATGCCAAGGACACCTTGGCGGAGTAGGACGTGGCGGGTGGCGCTGTCGATGAAGTCGCGGACGGGTTGGCCGGAGTGGATCATGAAGCCGTCCTAAAAGGGGAAGTTAGCGGTTGTTTAATTGACGGTGTATATCGGGGTGGTTATGAATAAGTGGCTATGGAGTGTGGGGATATGAAATTCTTGCTTCACGGGACACCGATCAATCGAACAGGTAGATTGATTCTTCTAAGTCTCCCGTACCTGTTCATCGCAGCCAATGACCGCTGTACAGGGAAGCAGAAAAGCGTGTAAATCTCCAAAAAATTAAAAAATTTGAAGAAGCATACAGTGAACTTCATGCTCTTGGCACGAGCAGCTCTCAACTTTCCAGAGACAACAACCTCGCAACCCTTGGCACCGCTCTCCATAATAAATCTGAGAACACCGTAACAAGCTCTTCGGACAGCGAGACCGTTGAGCAATTTGTATCTCAAGCTCTCGCACTGAGCAACGGCAGACAGACCACGGTTCTGCACCTTGGCGGCATACAGAGAAACGGAGTTTTCGGGGAATTTGAAGCGTTTCTGGATGAGGGAGGTGAGTTCGCGGATGCGACGACCTTGTTCGCCCAGAACTTCCTGGGTGTGAGTGGCACGGATGACTGTTGCAAGAAGAGGGTTCGGGGTTAATGGTTTTCTTCTATCATCTCAATATAATATTTCGCTCAGACTCCTTCCACCCGCGGCGAAATGTTTGTATCGTATCATCATCCAATCAATCAATTGGTCCATTCCCTCTTTTTTCTTAACTCGCATCTTTTCATTTGTGTACCTTGCGCAAATCCAGGCATATCACAATTCTTTTTTTCTGTCTTGTCTTTAACCGAATCCGTATTCCCAAACCCACAACAAAAGGGTAATCCAATCTCTCATTCTTCCTCTCCCCTCCAAATCCCACCAAGCGGTCGGTAAAAAAAAAAAAAAAAAAAAAAAAAAAAAAAAAAAAAAAAAAAAAAAAAAAGTAAAGGGACACGTACTGATATCAGTAACCGTGGGAGTAACCCGGACTTCGACGCCAGAGTATCCCTCTTCAGCTAATTCGCGCTGGAAGAACTCGTTCAACTCAGCGTAGAAAACACCATCAGCCACAAACTTGCGGCGCTTCGAGATCACTCCTTGGACGGCAGCCATGATTGAGGTTTTTTTGTTTTGTTTTGTCGTGACAGAAAACAAAAAAGGGTCCGCCGGGTATGTGTCGTGGGAAGGAGATTGGATGGGCGACGGCGACGAGCTGCTCTGGTATTCTACGTCGTGAAGATGGTTTTGGAGGTTGCTGTGGTTTTAGTGGGGGATATTTCGAGGTTAGGGCTTGGGGTTTGCCCTAATTCCGTTTTGGGACAGTGCAAGCTTGCCGTTTTGCGAAGGCACCTCCCAACCCTCAACCCTCAACCCGCAAACCTCAACCCGCAAACCTCAACCCTCAACCCGCAAACCTCAACCCTCAACCCTCAACCCTCAACCCTCAACCCTCAGCCCTCAACCCTCAACCCTCAACCCAGCCATTATAATGGGGCTATGTTCTGTTATATGTTTTAGATACGGATGGTGAACATACAGTAATTGGGGCTGACCTAATGTCTGACTACTGTGTTTGATTCCCATGGCATTAGACTCTAGTCCTCCCTGACGATACTACCATATGGTTCAGAGAGAAAGAGAAATATGCCATTTAATTCTCAATGCTGAAAAATGAATTAAAAAAAAGTGCTATATCATCAACCATATCATGAACTCGTGCAGACCAAATAACCTAGAACTCCTAAATTAGGAACGCCAGGAACGAAAATTATAGTCACCGTCCCGGCATCCAGACTCAATGTGTATGAACTAGTGAGGAACCGCAGTATGAAGGACGCCTCTTATTGCATCTCAACCTCCATTTCTTTATTTCCAATCAACTCCGCTCGCTGCCACTGGCTGCTTTCCCGACCGGTTGGCAACCCTAAATCAGTGAGACCCGCAGAAAGCGCAGCCACCCCTGACGACGTCGTGCTAGTGCTAGTGCTCGGGGGAGGGTTGGTGGCCCCAGGGTTGCTGAAAGAGCGTTCAGAAGTATCAACTCCGGTTAGAACTGGTGTCCTTGTGCCAGAGGGATAGTCCTTATCCAGAGACACGCAGCTGCTGCGAGGAGAATTCATTTCCGCATCGGTTCGACCAAACGCTTCACTCCACCATCTTACCTCGCTGGTGCGTGGGAAAAGAAGCCGTTCCCGACCTCGCTTATTATCATCTATGACAGGGTCATACTGGGGGTTAGTGAATTGCTCCCTCCTGGCGAGAAAGTAGTCCCACACGCTCCTTGTTTTTTCCTTGGCTTTTGCGTCTACACGCTCCTTTTCGCTGTTAAAGAGGAACGTTCCATATTGGCATGAGTAGAGATGATATAACAGTCGTCGAAGAAAACGCTCGTTGAACTCAAAACGTGTGGGATGCTGATATATCAATTGATATGTCGCGTCAAGGAATTGATGGAAAACAGGGCTTGTTTCCTTGATTTTCGTCACCTCGATTTCGTTTACCGATGTTGATATACGTGTACTTGGCTTCTTGGAGCTATCTGAATCCAACACCTGTATCTCCCCATCCGACTCACCCAACGAGTCCCGACTGGCGTTTTCTCTGTTGAAAAACACCTTCGCACTGAGAAGGGCATTTTCGAGTGCTTTCCCTGCGCCACCTGCATCACCAAAGCCCGAACGGCTAGTCTCACTCCCCATCCGGTCATTTTCAATTTGAAACCATTTCTCACTACTTAAATACCCAGATCTATGGCGAAACATGTGACCAAACGAGAGCCAATCCTTTTCGACCAGAACCATGAACCCTTCCATTGTCCTGTAGAACGGGTCAAGGCACAACTGGCTCAAAGCGCTCAACTGGCTAGTTCTATCCCAGCCATCTGAACAGTGAATGAGCACATGAGAATGTTGCAAACCCACTTGGCGTGCAATTAACGCGGCCCCGTCGAGTATTCCGGTGATATGTTTGAGCCAGCCACTCCTCGCAAGGTGATCTCTGTTCGGTCCGAGTGGTGTCACATCAGATTCTTTGAGAGCATCAATAACTCGATTTAGTGAGTCTCGCATAACATGAATGTTATCGATCCCCAAGTAGGCCTTGGTGGCGAACTTATAGTTGTCCATGTTTTCGGACCCTAGACCAACTGCCTGCATAGCAAAGGCGTTCACGGTTGGGCGAGCGTCGACAATAAGATTGTGCTGCTGTGCGCCATATATCTGAGGCTGTGTTCCGTTATCTTCATTCCGGGCTGCAGAAATTACCTCGTCTTCCAGCTCTTCAGCGTTGGATATTTCGAAGTTCGCTGGTGGAGCTGCTTGCTCTTCCTGGCTGGAAGTTAAGGAGTCAGCCTCTAAGGAAGAGGTAGGTGTATAGCTCGCAAGGGGCCTCTCCGGACGTGACGTCGAAAAAATAGCGGCTAAAAGTTTTTCATCTTGTATGCTTCTCTTCCCACGCACACCCACCAGCGGCTGAGAGGATCTTGTTATAGAACAGTTGTTGACAGGGTGAAGATAGGTCAAGACGGGTATTCGAGCTCTGGATCGGTATCTTCCGGCATAGTTAAGTGTATTGTCTGACATGCCCGAAGGAACGGGAAGAAGGGCAGGGTATGTAGGCGAAAACTAACGGCTACACGTCAGAGTTGCTTTATCGTAGAGCAGAAGAGCCACATTCATCCATACCGAGTAATACTGATTAATAGAAGATATCCTCCAACTGCAGTTTGCATCTGCCTTCCCAACTCCTAAGCGCAACCATTCTTTCCGCGCATCGTAGATTGCCCATCCATTGAGACTCCGCTCAGGGGGTGGAGGCTGATAGGTGAAAGCATAAAGTTTTTCGATCCGTCCAAGTTTGCAGGTCCATGACTTGATGCTCTCATAAACATCTCTTGCCCTGGATTCTTCAGGGAAATAGAAACAGACAAATGTGAAATCACGGCACCTGAGGCGTATTGAAGAGGGCTGTCTCGAAGAACTCGGTGCAGGCCTGAAGGTGCAGAAGGAAATGATCGGGTATGTAATCCACAGCTCTTTGGGTTTCGGGGTTATATTGTCTCCCTGAGACTGATCCGTAGTTGTAGGAGGGGGGGTATGTGAAAATATAAGGTGGTGGGGCGTGAGATGCAGTGTGCCGAGAACTTGCTCTCCACGTCGTGAGAGCGTCACATTATCTACCTATGTCCGTATATCAAAATATGAACCGTCAGCTCCACATGAATAGCTTCAACGCACCGAAAAAAAAGTCGTTCCCCTACCTTTGCAATCCTTGTTCGTTCCATCTTGGAATGAATGTCGAATAATTTACGTGGAATTTAAAGGAATGACATGGTGAAGACAAGCTGACTTTAATCGGTTTATTTTCAGTGCGCAGTCTCAACTCACGAACACTCCAAATCGGCCAAGTTTACGTAACAAAGCTGCGAAAAGAAAGCGAATAACGCCTGGTGTTAGACAGGGAATTGGCCAAAGGTTCGCACTTTGTAGAGTGCTTGCAGAATACTGCACTGGTTGTGACGCAGTTGAAGTCCTTTGGTTGGCAGATCGGACAGGCAACCAGCCAGCTTATTTAGCGCTCCGCCCCGCCTAAATAAACTCACATTGTCAGATATTTAACTTTAATGACTTCCACCCAAATTTTGCAGGGAGATTCTATCCGCTTTAATACAACTACAAAAGAGCTCATTTGACGTTATATTAAAGAAATATTGTCCAAGTATCTTTGCTATCGTACAGTTCAAGCCCGGGCAATGCTATTTAACCAATGGAATGAGCTGGATATATCAACTATTCATACGGAGCAAAAAGAGACTGTCTTCCTCCGGTTTCACTACACGGGCAAGGCCTATTGTATCTCTCCTTTTCAAAACCAATAAGAATGTGAGCTTCTTGCTCTGGAATATCAACGTCTCCTAATGTTATGAATGATGATGTTGTTCCGCTTCTCTATCGATCCACTTTTGAAAGTCTGCCCTTATGCTTTCATCCGTGTCTTTGGATTTGATCCTTTCCCTATCCATCTCCGCAAGCAGCTCTACCGCTTGCGGATAGGTGCTGTTACTAGACCACCTGCACTGACCAACAAGATGGGAAATCATATCCCAGAAGTCTAGTAATTCGTTGAATTTGGCCGCTCTGTCGGTCTGTGCATTCAACTTTTCGTCACTGAATTTGTACGGAATCGGCCCCTCGATGTCCAGAAAGCCCCATCGTCTATGATATTTTGATTAGCATAAACGGATTATAGCTGGTTCATCTTTCAGGTGAAAATGGAATGGGCGGGGCTGAACCGTTGGATCTTCATGAGGGACTCCCGAAACCGGACTATGTCACCTGTGTCCCAGGAGCTGACGCAGAACCTGATCGGGAATACTCTCACTTGCTGGAAATCAAATTGGAAGAACTTATATCAAGTTGACAGACTTCCTTTGCAAGAAACTGCTGGTAAGAGAACCGGAGGATAGACTGCGAGATATTTTTTTCTCGATATTTCTTCTCTCGTCTTTACCTAGGTCTTTGTAGTTATCTGGATGCAAATCGACGATTGCTGGCGGAGAGGAGAGAGTGAACAATGGTCCCGCCCATACATGTTGCCGTCCAACTATACCGCTGATACGATTGCCTTCTAAAAAGACATTCTCACCATACAAATTCAAGTGCCAAGTGACAATGCTACAAGTTCAGAGTCCTTTGGCAGAAGCAAATGAGTACTGCGAATATACTTACCAAGCAGCGAGAGATATGATTTGGGAGAGAGAGTATCGTCTGTTGATGAGCTATCTGGATCAGTCAATATCAATCTCTCGTAGGTTCGGGTACCGGCTCATCCAATCTATCTCATTTACCAACCCGCAATTAAATGTCTAATAGGAGTTTTCCCTGTGATCTATCAGTCGAAGCAACAAGGACATAGTTATTGGAAGCATCCATACACGGGCGCCGGTCGATATCCATCTTTGCTCTTTCCTTGAACCAGAAATCTTTTTCAGTGGTCAACCGTATGATATATTTGTCCATGATATACTACTTTTGCACAGTCGGAGATACGAGGCCTTTTGCGGGTGAACCTCTAAGGGGACAGCTTGAGAAAGTGCAAACTGCCATATGCTTAAGCAATAGATGATTTTAGTGTCTCTACTGCTGCAGATATGGGAATACTGGTACACATTGATTAAATGTCACTGACAAGTGCCTCTTGTGTATTGACACCAGATCTTTAATAACAGCCACACGATCACGCACTTCCATAGCTAGCCATACCTCTTTCAATTGAGTTCCTTTAGCCTCTTCGGTCAAGATATATTCCGAGCCTATGGGGACTGTCCCTTTCGCGTCCCACACCAGCACTCTGGGACCAGGGAGCCCGAGATTGTTCGAACCTAGAACATGTAACTGTTAAGTTTCTTTCCTCCTGGCCGAGACAAAAAACACTACAAGAAAATTCCTACAAATACCATTGTTGCTACACTTAATGCAGTTGAGTAGTAAACAGTAACCCCAGAAGTCAAATACGGCAAGCTTGCGATAGCTACGGCACTATTATCCATAACAAATCGGTATACTTTGTTGTATTGGCCGTCGGTGATTTTAGAGATGTGTTTGTAACTAGGTGCCCCGCCTGTTTGGGCTGCTATTTCGCTGCAAGGCAGGGTACATTGAATTCTTTGTAGCGGAGTTGCAAATGATTTTCTTCATCCTATAACCGCCAGCCCCCATGTACCTAGAAGCATTGTGATATTTGGAGTCGAATCTGAACGTGCTACCACGTTGGGAACAGAGCTGTATTGACGACATATGCAAAAAGGGGACAGGAACGGAATCTTTGATGAAGAGAAGAATATGTGAGTAGGACCTTTTGACCCAAATGATCCATTGGACACTGGCGCTTGGTATGTGAAATGAAGTGAGTCTACGTGTCATTTAGGCTTTAAAGGACGCATTGCTTGAGATGGATACGGGGGAGATAAAGATGATTATGTTCTCCCAGTGAGTTGATGAACCGATAATTTCCTGTGACTGCTCGAAGTGCCTGCCCATTATCTAGCCGCGCTACCCGCGCTACTAGTTTAACATCCAACTTATTATTAGCATTGAACTTCAGGTCTACCACAAGGATGTTAGTTAATGAGTGTTGAGCGTGCCATGGTTGCTTGCTCGCCTCTGAGAATGTTGTTTCAGAATTTAAAACTGTGAAAAATTCTTTCAAAAATTAATTTGCGAACTCATCCTCGCGTGGTGAGAGTTTATTTCCGGTTGTAAAACTTAATAACAGTTCGCAGTCGCCTGTTTTCTTGGATTTCAAATGGGTTAAACGGTTATTCATATCCAGTCGTTGACGTCAGATAAGTCGTGCCGGCTCTCCTTATTCTTCCGTCAGATCCAGACTTGAGCCTTTGCTGGCTCGAACCAGACGATTGCTTTGGGTTCACTGTACGAACAATGTCGTGCCCACAGGCGCCTCCGCATTTTTTCTCGAGGGTGCATTATTTTGAACCAGCGAAACAGGATAGGCAGAAGATGAATGGATCGCAATCGGGAATGGGAATATGTTGTCTACCCACCCGATTTCGCTGTCACCTTCCCAGCTCCAAGTCATGGATGTCAGTGCTAGAGCTGCATCTGCCCTCTCTATCACTGCATCATTTTTCGTAATTGCAAGCTTTCTGGGTAGTAACCTATTCAAAACCCCAGTCAACAGACTCAACTTTTATGCGACCTGGGGAAATTTATTTGCAAATATTGGCACCATGATGGGGACGTCTGAGGTTTCACGCGGCGAAGCGAATCGCCTCTGCCACGTCCAGGCATTCATATTACAATGGTGTGTGTTTTCCGTTCTTGTTCCTAGTCCCTTATCTCTTGTAGCAAACTTACATAAATTGGACCTAGGTTTTTGCCAGCAAACTCGTTATGGATCTTTTGCATGGCCTTAAATGTCTACTTGACCTCATTCCGCAGATACAGGCCTACTGAGTTGAAACGACTGGAGTGGCGGTACTTAATTTTATGTTATTTAATCCCATTCATACCTGCATTTATATTCCTGTTCATCCGCACAAAGGTCAGGGGACCTGTATATGGAGATGCCATTGTGAGTAAAAAGGCCTTAATAACCCGATCCTGTGTAACAGGTGCCGGCCTACTAACCACGGTATATGTATGCAGATGTGGTGCTGGATTAGACCAGAGTGGAAAGCTTTACGCTTCGCATTCTTCTATGGGCCTGTATGGTTCATAGTCGTTATTACAATTTCAATTCTTATATATGCGGGAATTGAAATTCTGTCAAGGCAAAAAAAAATTCGGAGACTTTCTACGACAAATATTCCTAATATCCCAGACAAATACCACTTAGGGGCCCAGCGAAATCCTACGATTGACGTGGTAAAAGCTCCCTTGGTAACAGATACGAATGCCGATGGTTTGGGAGGTGAGCTGGCGAATATTCCAGCTTTTGTTCATCTAGCTTCCTCTGGTGATGCACGGCTTATTAGGGAACAAGCTACGAAAGCCGGGGATACATCACCAATGACAACTTGGTTGGACGGCGAAACATCGCAGAGAGCAGAAGACAACAGAAGTTCCAGCATCAATCTCAGACGATCCTCAACACAAATCTCACCACGTCCCTTGCCATCTCTCGCTCCTTGTGCTACAACTGACTCCCAGATGTGGCGGGAAAGCGCACAACGACCGAGCACAACTCTCAACGTTGAGACCCTTAGATCAGGCCTTGATGAACTTGAAAACATAAATACGCTGCGCAACTCTCAGATTGACATGGAAAATACTACTCGGAGTACAATCAGTGATATATCTCTTGAGAATATTGACCTCTGGATCCAAAGCCACAGCCAAAGCTGGCACTCAAGCCATGACCTTGTTCAACATCAACTCATTGAGAGTCAGAATGCAGCATATTCGTACGTTAAAAGAGTCTCGTTATTCTTTCTTTCATTATTCGTAACTTGGGTTCGTATTTTTTCTTTTTACGATGATACTTCTATTCCTCTAACTTAGATCCCCGCTGATACCGCCAATCTATGTATCCTATAGACACCTTCCACTCTAAACCGGATCCATCGGCTTTCTTCCCCCCACGAACCGGTATTCGTTCTTTCTCTCCTGGCCACATCAGTTCTTCCGCTCCAGGGCTTCTGGAACTTAGTTGTATATATATGTACGTCGTTTGATTCTGTCAAGGTGCTTTATGCAAAACTCCGCACACGGTGGAGGATGCGTTCCGGGACGTAATTGTATATGCAGAGTTAAGGGGGCAAATGCCTCTCGCTGTTTTTAATGCTGTACATACCTTTTGTTACTGTGGATATTTGTTTTATATATAACCTATAACTAAGTGTAATGCTCGAATTATTATATAATCATTTTCCTGTTTTGTGAGTTCGAGGTACGGGGTGTTGGGTTGCTCGATTCTGGGATTTTGGAACTTGTCGATATCATTATGTTTTACCCTGAACAGACGAATTCCAGTTTACTTGAATCCACCATGCTGCATCTGTGGAATTGCTAATGTTAAATCTGTGGATTTTGCAGGTGTTTTTCCCACTTCCTCTTCCATGAAACGAAAGCAATTTTCTCCCAACCTTATGCGATGGAGGGACCTCATACGGTTTCATGGATTGTATCTTCAATCCTTCCTTTCCACTGGAATGGAGTATCTGTCACACACAGAAAACAAAATGGAAAATAATCATAGTTGCTTTAAAGCATACATGTTATTTTCAGATTTATAAACATTTTTCCGATTATAATACACATAGACACCCACCTTGAAGGACCAGGAACAAGAAAAGATGCGACCATACAACCGGATCCAATAACAATAGTTAATATGGTCAGGGACCTCTAGATGTGCAGGAAAGGAAAGGAAAGCGCCAAATACCGTATATTATTTCAGGCTACTACGGGCTTTACTATTAAATCTATCTTCAAACTCTCCATCTGCACCTTTCTCCAACCACTCATAAAACCTATCCTCTGGTTCAAGATTGGGATTTCGCCGATAATTTCCTTCACCTGTACAGCCAATCCGTCCTTCAGCCCCCACATCACCCTTGTAATTCGCAGCAGCAGCGCTCTGCTCAAAAGCCATTTCGCAGGCTCGGATGTAAAACGGCTCGAATGCAACCCGAAGCGATCCGTGGGACTTGCCATCCGCAATGGTGGATGAAAGACGGGTATTCGGTTGGCAAACCTCCGGCCTCAGTTCACTCTCATCGCGACCCAGGGAGAGAGACATATTCATCACATGCTCAGGCAACGCAAGGCCCATGTGTACATGTGAGAAATTGAGCTCGAGTTCTTTATAGTTGAATCGGGAGATTTGAGTTGACCTCAGGTAGTGCACTGGAGGGAGCAAGTATGTACCCGTTACGAAGTCAGACACTTCTCCATGTGCTTGCGAGTCCACTGCAATGGCAGAGGAGTGATTAAAGAGCAGCTTTCGGGGAATTGAAAGTTGACAGGATACAGGCATGCGGGTTTGTCTGAAAGCATCTTCACAAACCATTATTCGGATGAGTTGTAAGATACTGGAGATGTCGGCTCTTTGTCCATCGGTTTGTAGCAATGTAGATGGGTCCTTTCCTTCGAGGAGGTCATAATGCGTGAATTTCGTAAAGCGAAGGTCGACAGAGGTTTCTGGGAGTAATACGTCCATACTCACTCTATGAACGACGATGGATGCTTTTCGTAAGATCGGAACAAGAAGTCGACGTCTACCTTCAAACTGTAGTAAAACTTCCAATTCCAATTCTATCGGAGGGAGGCGTAACTTGTCAGTAGGTGACGGAGTAAGATGAATCCGGTGGAGAGTGGCGTTTCCATCGTTGAGTAAGGGGGTTAAATCTTGGAGAAACGCTATGGGATTGGGAATATTGGCAGCAAAAGCTCGAGGAACGGTAGGACTAAGTGACTTAAAGTTCATCTTGCCTGGTTTCATCAATTTTTGGTGCGAAAATAGAGATTTTCCAAGAGAAGCGACAACCACCTCACGGACATGAGGCTGGCCAGGATTGCGCCAAGTAACTGAAACTGGTTTCTTGAATAGCTCGTTGCACACCTTTGTAAGAGCAGACGCATGGTCTGTCTGGATGAGTGCTGTTGGAGGCTTTGATTGAGTTCCACTCGGTATTTTGGACTCGGACAGCGGCTTCATCCATCTTAGCCATCGTCTCTGACGATCCACCCATGACAAGAATTCGGGGTATGCAACGCTGTACATAACTGCTGGCTCAACGTCTGGTAAGTAGGTGCAAAACGGAGCTTGGTCCTCTTCGATCATCGATATTGCTGATTTGATATTCCTGTATGCCTCGTCCGCTTCTTTCTCCAACTCATGTACGAAATAGATCTTTATTTCCCTTGCACTTTCTTTACGGCAAAATACATGGAATGACTTCTGCATCAAACGAAAAAATCGATCTTCAAATCGTCTATTTTTCCCATGGAATATGTAACCTCTGCTCGGAAGCTCCACAGTTTTGGAGAGAATCTTAGGGAGATATTCCATGACACCATTTCGAACAAATTCACAAGACGTTTCATTTGCTGTGATCCGCACAAGGTTTAAAGACCTGAAAACGTCTATTTTGGCGGAATAGGCGGTTGCGAGGTCTGAGAGAGGGCTGGTATCAGGTAATAAAAGCATGGAGATCTCTTGGGGAGTCAGGTGGATGTCCAATTGACCTATTTCACCCGAAACAGATAGCTTCCAGCAGTCTCGTAATACGGTCTCTGCCAAGGCGACTTTCCCGGTCATATTTTGAAGACTCCCAATCCTCGAAGCGGTCTGTTTATGGGCCTCAGGGTCTATTTCGAGAAAAAGAGAGGTTCCAGGCCTCCATCCCGAACTCGATATCGTTGAACACTCCTCTTGGTCAGCGGGATTAACTAGCGGTTCAAATTGTTTGTGATAGTCAGACAGCTGATTCGCTGTAAAGCCATCTTCTAGTACTTTCCGAAGCCTACGCCATTCATTCCTGTTTAGCTTGTCTCCAGGCTTGTGGTGGAATCGGATTTTATCGATGTTCTCAATGGCCTCTTTAGCATCTCCCATTTGGTATCTTGTTCTATCCACCTCTCTCAGTAGTTCGGATGGATTTTCCCATGGAGCATCGCCATAAGTTTCCTTCTCCAGTATTCTTGAAAACTTGCGTGCGGTCATTTGTTTCGGGCGGCTCGCCCTCTCCTTCAGTATCACAACATCCCCAACCTCACCCAGGGTTTGCACATCCAAGCGCGCAACATGTCTTCGATATCGAGACTTTTTAATGCTCAATACCGGGTATAACTTAGGGTTTGTTTTAGTCCGGGAACTGGGAGTGGTCGTGCTGTGATATCTGTTTTGATGTAGGCCGTAGCAGGTATGGGTATTGATGCAGGTCGTCAAGGCCTTCTGAGAACGAGGAGAGCAAAATTGGCATCGGAGACAGGCAACCACATTTTGCGACGACGACGCCTTAAACATCTGTGATGGGAGAGCCACAGGACTAATGGCCCTGTGTGTTATGTTCAGATCATGACCAGAAAGTTGGGAATATTCGCATCTAAACTTTTTACTTCTGGAAGTGGACGAAAAATTTATCACGTGAAATTAACTGTATAATTACTAGCGTTGTATTATTTTGATGTAATGTTACATTGACACAGTTGGTAAACAATTCTCAGGGTACCCCTAAAATTCTACATAAAAAATTCCAAATAAAATCACAAACAGTATATATGCATTAAAGGTCTAAGGGATCGTGAACTTGAAACACACAAAACGAACACTCCCCCCGCGTAAACACTTGCAAAACTTAAGGGCATAACCTGAAAAGCACTATGGTTGTAACAATCTGGTCGACCCTCTGAATGTGAGGACCAAAGCCACCGGCTGTGAATGTTTCATCAAAAGCCAGTGCAAATGCTGAACCGAAAAGTAAATCCATTCATATGCTCGTGGTCAATAACTATTGTGGGAGAAAAACTGAAAATAGATAGCTGGCAGGTACAGACCTAAAATGGTATGATCTCTTGCAAGGTTTGGAATGTGGAATTCTGGTGGCATGGAAAGAATATATCAAGCGCACGGCTTCCATTACATTAGTGCTAATCTGGGAGCAACAGTTGTTAATTAGCAAATCCAGTGTGTACAAATCAGGAGAAATAGTTATACATTACCTTAATCGTGAAATAAAAGTAATAAAGCGCGATTCAAAGATCTGTCAGAGAACGACCTGACCTCCATCCCTATTCTCTATAAATAATGCACGGCCACTACTGTAAAGTCCGCGACATTCCGGGGATATTGAACGCAAATCACTGCGGAGTTGAAATTTCCCAGCTCCTCAGATCTTCACGAAGATCGAGCTCGGATACTTCCCTGCTTTTTTCTCTCCTTCCTCGGACCCTGTAACGTGAATGCTCCAGGCTATCCTTGCCTTTGCTATCCCCTCTTCGGTGACCACCAAATGAGGATTTTGCTCCTCTTTCATTTGCGCTATTGCGAATTGTGCGCCGCGAGTCTGCGTCGCTAAGTGACGTACTATCTTCATAGTCATCTTGCGGTCTTGCGCTGCGGCTAGCTGATCCCCAGCCGTCACCTCCCGCAAATATATCTTCGATCAACTCATCGGGAGGAAGTTCTCCAGGTCGACACGCCCAAGAAGCTGCCAAGGTACGCCGGTACATATCCTGCAAGTCGCCAGCATCACGACTCCTGCTATTGTTTGAGGGGGTAGAGCCAGAGTGAGCGAGATCGCCCTGTTCTGCGGATATAAAACCACCAATCCCCCCAAATACCATGGCGGTCTTCAGACGAGGTCTGTAAAAGGTTAACACGATGGTGGTCCCAAAAAAGGATACTCTTCCAAAAAAAAAAAAAAAAAAAAAAAAAAAAAAAAAAAAAAGGGAGCTAAGCACTAACGTGGTAAAATTGGTCTCTCCCTCGACCTGTCGCATCACAATCCCAACCTTTAAGGTGCTATTGATTTTGCTGTCTTGCAACAAGTACCGTCTAGTTACACCTTCGCCATCTTCATGCTTATCTACATACTCCGCAAGGTTAAG